GGTGCCCGCGCGCACCCGAGCGCACGGAGCACCCCCGCCGCGCGCCCGCCGGGAATGGCTTTCCGCACAGGTAAAACCATGCCCGAGTTTCCCAAAAATTGCTCCCGACGGCGCCTGCTCTCAGTACCCCGGGGGTGGGGAGGGAAGGCCTTTGTACATATTTGTATAAAGATTATTGACTTTTCCTTTTGGGGTTTTTATTTTTTTAAGAAAAAAACCAAATTCAGTAGATTTAGAGCTCTGAACTTTCATTTTTTTTGAAGGTTCACTCTCCGCAGTTTTATCTGAGAAAAGAATGTATAAAGACGTTGGGAGATTTTAAATACAAAAAAAATTTTCAAAAAGGCGAAGTGTCACTATTATAAAAGTCTGTTTATATATGAATGAATATATATGGTATTCTAAATGTTATTCCATCGTGTTGTACACAACTTTGTAAATAAATTTTTAAAATGGTCAGTCTATCGTTTTGTTTAGGTGTCTTAAGTAAATGGAAAGATTTTTAAATGGAATCTGCATTAGAAAGTCCAAATAATGGATCAGATAATGACCATTTCAAACTTTGCCAGTTCATAATCTGAGTGTAAGGTCATTTTAATCCGAAAAAGGGAGGCGTTTACCTAATTTAAATCCTGTTAGTATTTTTCCTTTAGGTTTCACTTAAGGTCAGGATGTGGATGAGGAGCTCATTCATATCAACCCATTAGATATAAATGACCGGACACTTCTGCAAAGCAAGATGTCATTAAAAAAATGTAATTGTAAACCACAGTAAGGTCTTTTAAATTATCTTCCCCAATGAAAACTTTGCAAGACTTCTTGGTCATTTTAATTATCCTTTCAAAAGCAGGTAAATTCCAAACATCCCTCCTTTTAGCATTTCAATCTCAGGTTTTGAAATTCCTTCCCATCCCTTCAGTGGAAGTGCTAAATAAACCGATGGATTGTTTAGACTTCTGCGATGGCATTTTACATTTGGCGGTGGGATGGCATCGTCTTCATTAACCTGATAATACAGTTGTTTTATTCCTTCATAGTATTTTCAGATAAGCTGTCTCTCCTTTCTCTCCCTGTGACCTCGCCACATCAGGATGGGATTTCTCGAGGATTCCTATAGATGTTCCCCCCTCCAGCCCCAAGCCTTTCTGACGGCCAAGACAGCGCAATTAATACCCTGTTAAAAACAGGTGCCCGCCACCCGCCCTCCCCAGCGGTGCTTGGTGAAATGCGAGATTTTCGGGCAGGAATGGGAATGTCCTCCGAGATGGTTTTAAGTGTCCATTTGAGCTGTTTCAACCTTTTGAAAAATGTATTAAGACAGAAATGAAACGTTGCGGGGGAGGCCTGTTCCTCCTATCCTCGGATCGTATCAGTTCTAATTATTTTGTAATTAATTTAGCCGTTGCAATCACTTATGCGAAAGTCGCTTTCAAAGCCGGAGGGAGCGGAGGCTGCGCTGTGCACCCGGCCCGGGCGCGTCGCGGTGGTGCACCCGCCCGTCCCGAGATGTCGTCCTGGGGCCAGGCCTGCTCCGCGCTCGGCGTGGGCTCGGGGGTCGCTTTGGAGCCCTTCCTCGCGAACCCCCGGTCTGTCCCCGGTAAGTTGTCCCCCTCGCGTCCTGGGCGAACGTCGCTCCGGCTCGGGCCTTCAAAGGAAGCAGAGCACGGGGCGAGCGCCGGGGAGCCGGGCGCCCTCGCCGGAGAGGCACGGCCGCGCGTCCCGGCCCCGTCCCGCTAATCTCCTCATACACGGAAAGCTAAACGGATCTAAATTTGTTTGTGTGTCGCAGCTATAAAAGTAACAAGTTGTTTCACAGTTGTGTCTGGCTAATCGGTTTTTACACAAACAGCAAATGGTACACGATTTGTGCAAACACGCAGAGGTTACTGCTAAATTTAGCCGGCACCGCTGGGGAAGGGAAAGGCTGGCTTCTTGGATTCGCTTTTAGCTTCAAGAAGCTGCTGATCCAAGGCTTCTAAATGACACCGGATAACAGGGCCTCATTCCATCCCTGATCCTTTGTTACTTATAAAATTACTCGCTCATATTTCCGCGCATAGCAGCGATGCCGGCCGCGCCTGGGACGCGCAGCCGCCTGCAGCCTCCGGCGGGGGTCCTCGGCCCGGCAGCTTCGCCCGGACCGGGACCGGGACCGGGACCGGGACCGGGGCCAGGACAGGGCTGCA